CAGGTAGTGACAGAGCCAGGCATAAATGCCAGACCACCACTCCATGCTGCTTCTCTCAGCCCTGGGCCTTTGCCTCAGCACGTGTGTCTTGGAGGGCCAAGGACACCAGAAATCTTTTTTTTTTTGAGGCAGAGTCTTGCTTTGTCACCCAGGCTGGACTGCAATGGCACAATCTCAGCTCACTGCAACCTCCATCTCCTGAGTTCAAGCGATTCTCCTGCCTCAGCCACCCGAGTATCTAGGATTACAGGTGCCCACCACTAGGCCTGGCTAATTTTTTGTATTTTTTAGTAGAGACAGGATTTCACCATGTTGGCCAGGCTGGTCTCAAACTCCTAACCTCTGGTAATCCACCTTCCTTGGCCTCTCAAAGTGCTGGAATTATAGGTGTGAGCCACTGTGCCTAGCCAACACTGGTCATCTTGAGAGGGAGGGTGGGAGGGGATCCCTGAGCTGAAGGAGCAACAGTCATACTGGATACAGTTTTGTTTTGTTTTTTAATGAAGCAACTACCTAAGGTGCCAGATGAGTTTTGAGAGAGGGGAAGTAGCCATAAGGGAAACAGAAACCAGCAATTTCGGAGTATCCTGGGAAAGCTATTTGAAGGAGGCAGGACTTTAGGAGCCACAGAAATGATAACATAAATATTTAAACAAATGTTATCTCAAGCCAGAGGCTGCTCCTCTCCTAACTATGGTTCTGCCTAGGCTCCTTCCCCAAGCCACCCTCTATGGAGAACTTGGGAAGGACTGGTCATTTTTCTTCTTCCTTTTTAAAAAAAATTAATTGGCCAGGCGCGGTGGCCCATGCCTGGAATCCCAGCACTTTGGGAGGCCAAGGCGGGCAGATCACAAGGTCAGGATATCGAGACCATCCTGGCTAACATGGTAAAACTCCATCTCTACTAAAAATAGAAAAGCAATTAGCCAGGCATGGAGAAGCACTTGAACCTGAGAGGCGGAGGCTTCAATGAGCTGAGATCACGCCACTGCACTCCAGCCTGGGCAACAGAGCAAAACTCCATCTCAAAATTAAAAAAAAATAATTAATTAATTTTGAGATAAGTGTCTCACTCTGTCACCCTGGCTGGAGTGCAATGGCACAATCTTGGTTAACTGCAGCCTCAACCTCCTGGGCTTAAGCAATTCTCCACTCCTCAGTCTCCTGAGTAGCTGGGTCTACAGGTACACACCACCATGCCTGGCTAATTTTTTTTTTTTTTGGTAGAGATGGGGTCTCACTACATTGCCCAGGCTGGGTCTCTAACTTCTGAGCTCAAGTGATCCTCCTGCATCAGCCTCCCAAAGTGCTGGGATTACAGGTGTGAGCCAATGCCACCACGCCCAACCTTGGTCATCTTTCTTCCGATTCCTGTAAAAAGAAGCAAGAGGCTACAATCTGGAGCCAACATCATGATGGAGCAAGATGCTCTTCTAGCTCCCTATTCCCTAAATTTGTTCACCGGGGAAACTCCTGTGGAGTGTAAAGATCACCACATCAGCAATCTCTTTGCTTTCTCTGCTCACTTAACCACTGAAACGCTACATAAAGAACCTGGGCCAGCACTTGGGAGGCCGAGGCAGGCAGATCACCTGAGGTTAGGAGTTAGAAACCAGCCTGGCCAACATGGTGAAACCCCATCTCTACTAAAAATACAAAAATTAGCCAGGTACAGTGGTGGGAGCCTGTAATCCCAGCTACTCAGGAGGCTAAGGCAGGAGAATCGCTTGAAACCGGGAGGCAGAGGTTGCAGTGAGCTGAGATAGCACTATTGCACTCCAGCCTAGGCAACAGAGCAAGACTGTCTCAAGAAGAAAAAAAAAAAGAACCCGGGAAGGACTGAACTCTAGAACTCTGGGACTCTGACAGCCAAAGAGCTGGTAAACTGGCTGAGGCCCAGGGAAAAGCTTTCCCTCAGAAGGGCTGGGGCAGGGCTCTCCTCCAATTTTAGATTAGTCCTGACCAGCCCCACCCTCTGGAGGAAAACTTTAATATGGAAGCATCTCTTGAACTGGAACAGCTCTGCTGAAGTCTCCCTGAGGCCTGGCCCAACCCAAAGTGCAGCATCAGCAGAGTTGCTCTGCCAGTGAGAGGGGGTGGTGGGGCACAGGAGCTGGACTTTGTAATACGCTGGGGTCTCTGAGTTCAAGCTGAACAAGCTCCAACATTACCGCTGGCCAAAAGCAAAGCAGTAATGTTGTCAAAGCCTATTCACCTGCCACATCCCAATCTCAGTTCTTCTCTCCCACCCTCATCCACTTCCCATAACATGCCTTGTTCCCACCCTGTTGTCAATTATTCCTGCAAAGAATACAACTTATGGGGTACTTCAGCAAAGTACCTACCTTTTAATGGAACACTCTGTAAGGCCCAGAGGAGTAACTCCAAAGCTATATAAGATATTCTAAAGCAGTCTTCCCTCTGGCATCCCCTTCTCAAAGCATCCCACGTATAGATACTGTCAGGGCCATCTACCTTGTAAAGTCTCAATTTCCCCAGCAATAAAAATGAACAGCCAAATCAGGTCATTTTCCAGGTCCTTTCCAACTTTGATGTATGAGGTCTTAGACTTGAGAATCCACAGCCTCCCATTCTGAGAGCGTGGAGCCAGCTAGCCCTTGTTAGGAGGCAGATCGTCTGTGGTTTGGCACTATTGCCCGGCAGGCATTTATTAAATCAGTGCGACGTGGTCCCTGCTGGCCTGGAAAAAGAACATTAAGCTCCAAAAACTTCCTGCAGCAGGCCTCCTTCAGAGAATGCTGCTCAGAGGGGTGAGGAACAAAACCATTCAGGCCCCTGGCTGTGCTCCAAGATCCTGTTCACTAGTACTTTTGCCCTATCTGCATGGAGAACCAGGGACTAAAAACATCTGGAAGACTGCTTAAGAACTGGGTGAATTGTCTTTTCTTTCTTTGGGGGTGGCTGTTCTTGACCTTGGTAATCCAGACTGACCTCTGCCAATGCCCCTTCACTTCCACTCTTCTGCACTTCACTGGGCAGCAACTTTCTAATAAAATCCACATGAACCCAGCTGCTAAGAGCTCCTGGAAGGGCTGTGGGATCTGACACCTGCTCCTGCATTTTTTGAGCCCTAGTAGCAAAGAAAAACAGGGCTGAAACCCAACTCTTGCACCTCTGGGTCTTACAGTGGAGTTGTGAACAAAGAGAGTAGATAGAAAGAGAGAAACATTAACGAGGTTTTGCTGAGGGTGGGGAAAGCAACTGCAGGTGAGTAATGCACAGGTGTAGTCACGTGACTGCTGGGTGACCCAGCAGATTCCTTTGGGTCTGGGCTTGCCTCATTCCCAGTGACCTTATCATGTTGACAAAGCTTATCACTCTGAGAGGCAGGCCTGGTCTAAGAGCACAGAGTGCACGTGTCACTGACCTGGGGGTACAGGGTTGCCTGTCCCTCCTCCCTCTGTTGTGATCTGGGGAGTCCAAAATTCCTTCTGTCTCTATTTATTTATTTAATTAATTTTTTTGAAATGGAATCTCACTCTGTTGCTCAGGCTGGAGTGCAGTGGCACAATCTCAGTTCACTGTAACCTTCACCCAGGTTCAAGCAATTCTCCTGCCTCAGCTTCCCAAGAAGCTGAAATTACAGGTGTGCACCATCATGCCTAGCTAATTTTTGTGTTTTTAGTAGAGATGGGATTTCACCATGTTGATCAGATGGTCTTAAACTCCTGACCTCCAGTGATCCACCCACCTTGGCCTCTTAAAGTGCTGGGATTACAGGCGTGAGCCACCATGCCTAGCCAGTTTCTAATTATTTAAGGTAATATCTTTTTGGAGATAGATTCTTACCCTGTGGCCAGTCTGGAGTCCAGTGGTGCAATCTTGTCTCACTGCAACCTCCAACTCCTTGGTTCAAGCCTCAGCCTCCTGAGTAGATGGGATTACAGGTACGTGCCACCACGCCCAGCAAATTTTTGTTATTTTTAATAGAGACAGGATTTCACCATGTTGGTCAGGATGGTCTCAATATCCTGACCTCATGATCTGCCCTAAAAGTGCTGGGATTACAGGCTGGGTGTGGTGGCTCAAGCCTGTAATCCCAGCACTTTGGGAGGTCGAGGCGGGTGGATCACGAGGTCAAGAGATCGAGACCATCCTCGTCAATATGGTGAAACCCTGTCTCTACTAAAAATACAAAAAATTAGCTGGACATGGTGGTGCGTGCCTGTAATCCCAGCTACTCAGGAGGCTGAGGCAGGAGAATTGCCTGAACCCAGGAAGTGGAGGTTGCGGTGAGCTGAGATCGTGCCATTGCACTCCAGCCTGGGTAACAAGAGCGAAACTCTGTCTCAAAAAAAAAAAAAAGAAAAGAAAAAGTGCTAGGATTACAGGCGTGAACCACCGTGCCCAGCCTAAGGTAATATTTTTATTTTTTGACTCCGTCACCCAGACTGGAATGCAGTGGAACCTCCACTTACCAGGTTCAAGTGACTCTCTTGCCTCAGCCTCCTGATTAGATGGGATTACAGGTGTGTGCCACCACACCCAGCTAATTTTTTCTATTTTTAGTAGAGATGGGGTTTCACCATGTTGCCCAGGCTGGTCTGAAACTCCTGACCTCAAGTGATCTGCCCACCTCAGCCTCTCAAAGTGTTGGGATTACAGGTGTGAGCCACCATGCCCAGCCCTATTTAAGGTAATATTTACTGAGCACTTACAACATACGTGCCTGGTGCTGGTGAAAGATATATCAGTGAGTAGAACAGACCCAATTCCTGCACTCAAATCCCACTCACTTGGAAATCCTGACTATGGGTTGCAAAGTCTCAGGGCCACTGGTGGGAGTGGGGTGAGTGTGCTTGGCATTCCAGAGGCAAGAGAGCCATCCTGGCAGTGATGGATCTTTCCCATTTGGACTCCCTAGCTCTTAAGTCTGTAGGCATATCGTATGGACACAAGAGTTCCCTCTGGTTAACGTCAGAGCTCCGATTCACTTTAGCTTTCTTCTCCCCAAGAGTCCAAGAAATAAACACAACAGGTTAGAAGGACAACCTTGAGCTGGTTGAGGTTTATTTATAAAGTAAAAGGTACACTTTACTGGGCCTGGCCTTTTTTATTTTTACTCCTCGTTTGCCTTCCTTTCTGCTCAGCAGAGATTTTTGCTTGCTCTCATCTGAGAGTTGAGCCGATTTCACAAACCTATCTACTCTTGGCTGTGATGAGCCACATACCAGCACAATCTTCCCTGGACCTGAGGGTGGCTTCATCTTGACAAGCCCACAAGGATCCTACTGAAGCAAATGACTCTGTTCCAGTCAGGTCAGGCCTCTGTGGAGCAAAGAAACTGGTGTCCTTCTTGGAGTGCTGCCTTCATCTCCTTGAACTGAGCCAACTGGCAGGCCTCATCCAGCCCCAGCCAGCGGTAGGCTTGGTGCTCATGGGAGAGGCGGATCTCCACATTGCAGTCCTTCACCTCCGCCAGCCAGTAAATTACTGTTTTAGGCTTATTCCTGGCCACATAATTGAGCTCCCTTTTGAACCCCTCAATGATGGTCAGCTGGCCTGCTTCTATGCCCGCTTCCTCTTGAGTCTCCCTCAGGGCTGTTTCCAAGTCATCTTCTCCTGGTTCCACATGGCCTAGTTAGGAGAAACAAGGGAAAAAAGGAGGAGGAAATCTTCCAAAGTTCCCAAAGCTGGATTCTCCAGTCTAGATGGTTTTTTTTTTTTTCTGTTTTGTTTTGAGACAGGAACTCACTCTGTTGCCCCAGGCCATAATGCAGTGGTGCAATCAGCTCACCACAGCCTTGAATTTGTGGGTTCAAGTGATCCTCCCATCTCAGCCTCCTGAGTAGCTACAACAACAGCCATGTGCCATCATGCCCAGCTAATTTTGTGTGTGTGTGTGTGTGTGTGTGTGTGTGTGTGTGTGTTTTTGGTAAAGATGGTCTCACATTATATTTCCCAGGCTGGTCTCAAACTCCAGGCCTCAAGTCATCCTCCTGCCTCAGCCTCCCAGTGTTGGGATTACAGGTATGAGCCACCAAGCCCAGCCATTCAGTGACTTTTCTAGGTGTTCCTAGGCTAAAGGAAGCCTAGAGATTGGCAGTATCCTACATGTCTGGGAGGGGGTGCGGGCAGGTAGTGTCTAGTTCTTGGGGTTTGAGCAATCCCACCTTCCCACTCCATCTTCTCTGCAGAGAGTGAAACAGACCATGTGTATCGCAAGTCAGGTTTAGAATACTGCTCTTTAATGATGTGAGATGACCTTCTTCAGACCTCTGCTTTCTTATTCTTTGGAACTTTCTTCATCCCATGTTCTAAGGAATCATTTTTCTATTGGAGACCTTAAGTGATTTTTCCAAGGAGGGGGACGTCTTTTTTTAACAAGTGGATTAGCTAAAGAGGAAGTACTTTGCCTAAAATCCAGTGAGGACTTAACATTTGTCTGCAGGTGGACCCTGATAGTCCAGGGCCAAGAGACAGGCTCAAAACCCTGCATGGCTGGGAATGAGCAGCTGTTTCCATGAAGCTATCAAGGCTTTTTCCAAATTGTTTTCATCTTTCTTACTGGGCAAGGCCACATTTCAGTTTTATAGGGAAAGTCTTGATGGGAACTTAGACTAAGGGCCAGCTGAGGGCCACTTCTTAGAAAATGTGTTAGCAACACCCAAACCCAAGAAGACAGCTGCCAAGAAACTGCTGTAGGAGAACTTGAGGCTCTGCAGACTGGAGCAGCTCTCAGCTTTACCTCTTGGTCCCTCCCACAAATCCTCAGCTTCCCCAGAGGGGCCAGGAAGGGTCTGGCAGATTCTGTCCTACACTTGGCTCCAGTAAGTTTCTAGGGAGGCCTCGTGGCTCATAGGCTCATGGGGAGCAGGAACTCTCAGCTGTTCCATCCTTGGTTTGGAGATGGGGGCTCTCCTTCCCAGGGGTCTACGATACCTTGAGTCAGTTGCTGCACAAAAAAATCCCCAGGAACTTAGCACTTAAAAACCATTCTAGCTTATGGCTTCTGGGGAATTTTCTCTGCACAGCACCTCCTATAGTGATATACACAAAGACAGGTAATGCATCAGGGGAGGAAGGTGGGAGGGATACTGGTAGTGATGGGTGATACTGATTTAGGATGTCCTATCTCCCCTCAGAGGTGTGCGGAAGTCTCTGAGCATACCCCTCCCAGGGGCATCTATTCAGTATTCTGTCTATCAGTGTTAATTAACAGGGTAGCTTCTGCCGAAGCAGGAAAGGATTAGGAGAGGTCCACTGACATCAGGTAGTGAGAGGAACAGGGCAGTGTGACTCAGGTGATCCAGAGACAAGTGTGAATATTCCTATTCATAGTATTTGTGAAGCTTCTGTCTCTTTTTTCACCTTGTTTCTCCCCAGTACAACTCAAATATGCAAAATTTATTTCCTATTACAATTTCCTTATTTTCTTTCAATCCTGGATCTTTGTCCATCCCCTTACCCCACTCCCTTTTAAAGTCACTGTAATCCCAACACTTTGGGAGACTGAGGTAGGTGGATCACTTGAGCCCAGGAGTACAAGAACAGCCTGGGCAATATACTGAGACCCTGTCTCTATAAAATAATAACATAAAATAATTAAAAAAAATAAAGTCCCTGCTTCCTTCTGTCTGAGGGCTATTGCCCATTCCAGTAGGCACAGTCTGTCTCTCCCAACTTGGACCATCCCAATGGCCTCAGCCAAGAAGAGCTTTTTCCCATTTTCCCCCATATAACCTGGCTTCTCTTTCAGGACCAAATGACTGCAGCTTTCTTACTGTTAGAGGTGGGTCAGGAGGGCTGGTGGATGAAAACTGGCCAGCTTTCAAACAGATCTTGGTCTGGTCTAAGGCCTCAGTCTTCACTGTTCTTCCCTCTGGAGACTTGGCCAGCTGTACCCTGAGTGCTGAGTGATGGACTCAGGCACAGGTAGCTAGCCGTTCAAGCTGCAATCCCAAGGTCTCCATAATCTTCATAGCTTCCTGGTCTAAGAAGGCTCCACGCATCCCCTCACTCTTCCACTCCTGCCATAATCACAGATGAATCTATGATCAGGGAACCCAACTTCTCTGTGCTCCAACTCAAAATACAACTATGTTCAGAAATACTCTAGAAGTCATACTCTCTGTGTTTAGTTCAAAAGAAAAACCTCGCCGGGTACGGTGGCTCATGTCTGTAATCCTAGCACTTTGGGAGGCCCAGACAGGCAGATCACCTGACGTCAGGAGTTCGACACCAGCCTGGCCAACATGGGTAAACCCTGTCTCTACTAAAAATAAAAAAATTAGCCAGGCATAATGGCGGGTGCCTATAATCCCAACTACTTGGGCGGCTGAGGCAGGAAAACTGAACCAGGAAGGTGGAGGTTGCAGTGAGCTGAGATTATGCCACTGCACTCTAGCCAGGACAACAGAGCGAGGTGTCATCTCAAAAAAAGAAAAACCTAATTAACTAGGAGTCAAAGGAAATTATCAAATAAAATCGGAGACAGCCTGGAAGAAAACAGGATTTTCTTTCTTTTTTTGAGATAGGCTCTATCTCTCAGGCTGGAGTGCTGTGGCACGATCTTGGCTCACTGCAGCCTTGACTACCCAAGCTCAAGTTATCCTCTAACTCAGCCTCCTGAGTAGCTGGGACTACAGGTATGTACCATCGCGCCTGGCTAACTTTTGTAATTTTTTGTAGAGATAGGGTTTGCCATTTGCCCAGGCTGGTCTCAAGCTCCTGGGCTCAAGTGGTCTGTCCACCTCGATCTCCAAAAGTGCTGGGATTATAGGCGTGTACCACTGTGCCTGGCCGAAAACTGAGGATTTTCTAATCAAGCCCTTGTTTGACAGATGAAAAACTCCAAGCTAAGAGAGGTGCGCACACAGCTCAGTCAACCCCAAGGTCCCAAATTCCCTGCCTGCTGGCTTTTCTCTTACCTACACGGAGGTTGAAGAGCTGGCAAGTAATACTCATTAAAAACACCAAGTGCTGCTTCTACCCTGGAATTCAGTCACAGAATTCTATTTCCAGCTCTACTCTGGCCTGGTCTGGAGACCTTGTATGTAGAAAGGGCCAAGGGCTCCTACCTTCCCTACCCCCTCTTGCTGCACAGTCAATCGGAATCAAGACTTGGGGAGGGCCTCGCAGGGTAGATTTCTGAGCAGTGGTTGGCAGTTTCCCAAAAGCTGGTCCCGCTGGCCTCTACCTTTGGGAGGAGTCCAGTGATGAATGCCATCTGATGCCTGCAGCAGGAGAAACTCAATTGTACTGTTGTCCACCTTGGGAATGAGGCATCTTCGGAAGATGATCAAGCCACATGCTCTCAGGGCCATGGTCTTATCCTAAGGACTTAACAAAGAAGATACAGAATATTGGGAAGTTACACAAAATAGGAAGCTCCATGCTGGGGGGCAGGGTAGCAATCTGGTGCTGGACAGTAGCACAGACTAGCTAACTATGATCTCATAGCCCACAGAAAAAGGCAGCATGCCCAGGACCAATGGACGGCATCCAGGAATCAGAGACTGACCTTTGTGTGTAACTGCAGGACCCTGGCAACTACCCTCAGTCAATGTGGCCTCTATCCCAACGCCTCCAGGGCTCCCTGTAAAACAGGGCTGGCATGCATTTGTTATGACACTGGAGATCCTCAGAGGCAAACACATGGAAAAAAGACAGATGCTGGGAATGGGAGAGAGAGAGGCAGTACAAGTTTTATTATCAAACCTGTAATCCCATTTCCCCAGCCTATATCCTGAGCCTCTGTTGTGCACAGCCCGCCAGCAATGTGGTTTCTGATGATGCAGAGGGGTCACCTATGAAGGGTAACTTCGTATACAAAAAAATTTTGTTGATTTTTTTTGTTTTCTTTTGTTTTGTTTTTTGAAACAGGGTCTCGCGCTGTTGACCAAGCTGGAGTGCCGTGGTATGTGATCGTGGTTCACTGCAGCCTCAACCTCCCAGGCTCATGCAAACCTCCCACCTCAACCTCCCAAGTAGCTGGGACTGTAGGCATGTACCACCACACCTGGCTAATTTTTAAAATTTTTTTGTAGAAAGAGGGTCTCACGGCATTGTCCAAGCTCATCTTGAACTTCTGGGCTGAAGTGTTCCACCTACCTCAGCTTCCCAATGTGTTAGGATTATAGGCATGAGCCACCATGCCCAGCCTGAGATTTTTTTTTAAGTCTTTTATTTTATCCATTTTTTTTAAGAGACAGGGTCTCAGTATGTTGCCCATACTGGCCTCAAACTCCTGGACAGAAGTGGTCCTCCCAGTCAGCCTCCTGAGCAGCTGGCAATGCAGGAACATCCCACCACTGCCTGGCATTGCTGGTGCCCAGGGGTAGCAGAGCTGATGCAGAGAGGGCTGCCGGAGCAGGAGCTATTAACCTCCACAGCCCCTTTGCTGGTACTCAATCAAGATGAGTATACAGCTGTCAAAGGCATAAAAGTCAGGCCCAAACAGAAACCTACTCTAGGGCAATTCTCAGGACTGCCAACAGATGGTAATGTTACTCTAGAGAACAGTAGTTTCTCATCAAAAACCAAACACCCAACACCAAGACCCTTCCAAGCTTTTCTAAACCTGTAACAAAAGTTTTTAAGGATTGGAGATAATCTCAAAGGGGATTTCTGAAGTGGTCTGTGCTCTCAAATACTGTTGGTAGAAAAGTAAATTGGCATATCCCCTTAGGAAGGCAATTTGATAATAATTATCAAAACATAAAATACACATTCTTAAGAGCCAGCAATTCCATTTCTAGCCACTCTCAGATAAGAAATATACATACAACGATGTTCACTACAACTTTATTTGCAATATCAAAAAGGAAAAAAGCCAGAAACAAATGTTCATCAATCTGAGAACGGGCAAAAAGTACAGTATATCTAGATGATGAAATAGCATAAAGCCATTAAAAAATGAGGTCGAGGCTAGGCAGTGGTTCATGCCTTTAATCCCAGCATTCTGGGAGGCTGAGGCAGGAGGACTGCTTGCATAGTGAGACCTCTTCTCAACAAAAAATAGAAAAAAATGCCAGATGTGGTGGCACACACCTATAGTTACAGCTACTCAGGAGGCCAACGTGGGAAGACTGCTTGAGACTGGAAGGTTGAGGTTGCAGTGGGCCATGTTTGCACTACTGTACCCCAGCCTGGGTAACACAGCGAGACTTTGTCTCAAAAATAAAAGAAAAAGAAAAAGAAGCCAGGCATGGTGGCTCACACCTGTAGTCCCAGCACTTTGGGAGGCCAAGGTGGGTGGATCACAAAGTCAAGAGATTGAGACCATCCTGGCCAACATGGTAAAAACCCGTCTTTACTAAAAATATGAAAATTAACTGGGTGTGATGGCAAGTATCTGTAGTCCCAGCTACTCGAGAGGCTGAGGCAGAAGAATTGCTTGAAGCTGGGAGATGGAGGTTGCAGCGAGCCAAGATCACACCACTGCACTCCAGCCTGGTGATAGACCAAGACTCTGTCTAAAAAATAATAATAATAAAAAGAAAATAAAATATGTGGTCAAGCCTAACGTGCTGCTTGTAAGGAAAAATATTTAGACGTGAAAAAAAGATGGTTCTGAATAGTATGTATAATGAAATCCCTGTTTGAATTTATAAATTCATATGTAAAGTGGTAGTAGGCTTTTATTAAACACCATGTTCTACCTTCCTGGATTCCCTATTTATGCCAAAAACTTACCCTATTCCAGAAGCCAATAGGAAGCACCCCATCACTATAGAACTGGTGAACAAAGATTTCATATTATTGGTCCATGGTTGAAGCGGAAACAGGTAACTGATCCCATGCCCTCCCTATAAAGATGCTCAAAAAGGATTAGAAAGTAATAGATGTAGGGTACCTGTTCCTGCCTCAGGTCCCATAGAATGAATGTTAGAATCCCTAAATAAGCTTAGGGATCCAAGACTAGAGGGCACAGTGCCCTGCCTAGGACAGGAAATTCATACCACTGCCACCACCAATGCAGCATGGACAAGCAAAGATGCCTGCATGGGGGGCCAAGACAAGCCTGGGTTGGCCATGTGGAACCACTGGGAAGAGGAGAGTGGGCCAATATTTTCCTAGGCAGCGGTAGGATGGGGGAGGAATCTTAGGGTAGTGACAAACATGTACCCTAGCAAGAATGTATTTCAGTGGATGCCAGTGTGTTAGGGATGACCACATCTAAGAACCATTATCAGCTAACAGTTCATCTCAGTGGTGCCAGAAGAGCTAGGATCACATGCTCATTCTCCATCTATATTCTGGACCCATGGAAAGAACAGTTCTAGAAATATAGAACTCCTCACTGCTCTTTCAATTACTTGGCTTGAGCCAGCTATTCTCTAGAACTCTTCCTACCCACTTTATACACACAACCGCCTACTCATCAGAAGCAGCTCAGACATCATCTCCTCTATGAAACTTCCTGGTTTCTAATCACTCCATGTTCTGCGTCCTCAACATGGCTTGAACAAACTTCTACCATAAAGTTCAATCAGGGAAGCAAATGCTATGAGCGACAGAAAACTAAAGATTTACTGTAAGGATTAGACATTGTGTATCTATGGAAATTGGTGGAGAAATCCATGCAACTGTGTTGCCTCTGCATCTAGTGCTGGGCCTGGAGTCCGTGAGACAAGTAGTAGGGATGAAAACTGGATGTGAGGTGGAAGAGAACAAAGACAAACTGGAACCTCTGAGAACAAACTGGGATCTACAAGGACAACTGGAACTCATGAGGATAACCTGAAACCCACAACTTCCTTTCACTGGCCCCAAGCTCAGCGACTCAGGTGATTTGGAGAAGCTGGGGCCCTTTGCTACAGAGCTGACTGCATACATGGCCCAGGACTCAGAGAAGCTGAAGGAGGAAATTCAGTAGGAGTTGGGGGTGCTGGGGGCTGTTTGATGAACTTCACCAACAAGGTAAGCCAGCAGATCAGAGAGAAAGTACAGGCACTGCCACCATGCCTGGTACCCTGCTCTGTCCTTCGCAGTGTACCAAACCCGCTCTGTCCTTCTCAGTGTCCTGGCTGCTACTTCAGTTAAGCTTCCCAAATCTCTCACAAAATTTTCTTGTGGACAGCCCTCACCTGGAACCATATCGGAAGGATCCTGGGACTCCAGCTTAGCTACACTGACACAATACAAGCCAGCAGAAGCACATACACCTAGTATAGTAAATCTCTACTGGTACCTCTGGCAGGGAAGAGCCAGATTATAAGCTCTGTGTTCTTGGGACCCAGCACAGCAATTTTGAACAGATGTTCATTGACTCAAAAGAACTCTCTCCCCACCTCCCACTCAAACAAATGTTTGAGTATGTTCTGGGGCCTTGGAAAATAGCCCAGTGTTTTCCTGAAGAGTGCCATTTACATAAAAGTGAATGGAGCTATTGTTGGGGGTTTTCTGTTTTTCTGGAGACCACTGAGCTGAAACTGTCCAGGGGTTTGAAAGGAGCCAGCTTTCACACACAGACTCCAAGTGGATTCAAACCTCAGGGGGTTAAAGAACACAGCATCCAATATGCAAATATGCCTGCAGCCAGGATTGCGGAGGTGAGAACTCCAGGCTGACAGCAGGCAATTCACACTTCAGAAAAGTGGCAGAGTGCCTGAGGTGGTTAGAAAAAACCTGAACAAAAAAACCCTCAATGTCATCAGAAGGTTCCAGAAGCTAAGGAAAAATATTTTTGGCTTTCTCCATATATACAGTTCCCTCACAGCCTAGGAGGTTCAGGACCTAGGTACCAAAAAAAGAATTTACAAATACCTGACTATGCTGTTTGTTTCAATGTTTTCATCAAATTAATCAGAGTACTATGAAAAACTCTCAGAAATATAACTTTACATACAAGAAGAGCTCTCCAAATTTTCCCTTTAACCTGTTCCCCATAGTTTAATATCCCTTTAGCAGAAACAGCATTTCATGCCACTTATCAATCAAGCATCCATACTGTACCAGCTATACTGTGCAAGACTTTTGACAACTACCAGCTATACTGTGCAAGACTTTTGACAACTATCGTTTTTAAAGCTCAAAACAACCTTTCAAGAGAAGCATTATTATATTCACTTTACAAGGAAACTGAGATTATTTTAAAAGGTTAAAATACTTGGGCAAGGGCATACATAAAGGGCATAAATGGTGGGATCTCAATCCAATTAAGTCTAACTCCAAAGTCTACAATTTTTTTCCCTTTCACAGCTCTGTTCACCCTGAAAGAGTAGGGCTTAGGACACAAATGGCCCTGAGAGAGGACACGCAAACAATTTATGAAATCATTTCCAGTTTCAAAATTCCCAGTCCTTTTTTTTTGAGACAGGGTCTCTGTCATCCAGGCTGGAGGGCAATGGTGTGATCATAGCTCACTGCAGCCTCAAGTGCTCACTGCATCCCTTCTGGGCTCAAGGAATTTTCCTGTCTTAGCCTCCTGGGTAGCTAGGACTACAAGCAGGAGTCATCACACCTAGCTAAATTTTGAAAACATTTTTTTTTGTAGAGCTGGGGGGTCTTGCTATGTTGACCAAGCTAGTCCTGAATTCCTGGCCTTAAGCAATCTTCCCACTTTGGCCTCCCAAAGTGCTGGGATTACAGGTGTGAGCCACCATACCTGGCCCCAAATTCCCAGTCTTTAATCTATATTCCTTTGGAGGCTAAGATGTCTAGCTGGAATCATTTCCACCAAAACGGTTTTAGCTGGGGGGAAAGGGCCATAGATGTAAATACTGGTATCCGAAGTAGCACCCATCTGATAAGGGTTTCTATGCCTCCTCTCCTCTTTTCTAGGAAAAAACACATGTTCCACCTAACTTAGGGCACTAGTGTCCACAAAATTTACCCAGGCCCTCCTCCAGATGAGGAGGAAGGCCAACGGTTTGCCTGCCCACAAGCAATTCTACGTGGATACTCCCTCACGTCCCACATCATAATCATCTTTTCCCCAATTTGCGTTTCTTTCTTCTCTTTTAGAGTGGACAGAAATGAGGCACCCACCGAGTAAAGCTCTTTCTTGTAAGAACAATAACAAAAGGAAGAGAAGAAAAAAGAAAGAAATGAAAAAGAAAAGCCCCAACTACCATGAATAAATTGAGACAAAGAAAATATTCCCTCAAATGCACCTTTCCCTGGACATCTGCCACTCCATTCTTGCAGAGACGAAGCTGCTGAGTCATTTTGCTATTTTTGCTATTGGCTGAGGGAGGAAACAGGAGATTTTACCTGTAATGGCATAAATATTGGCTTCTAGGATAAGGCCAAAGTCAGACAAGGTTGGGACAAAAATTCTTAGTGAAGGGGATTTGTTAAGCGGCCTATTAGTGCCATCTGCTGTACAATTCTAGAAAGCTAACTTAGGGAATTCTAAATTAGAGCCCGAAGGGATTTTGTTTACTCATCTAATGTCTGTTGTGTGTATCCCATGCAATAGTGTAAAGGATTGAAAGACAGATATGAAGCTGAATACTACAAAGCACCAACTTCCTAGAGATTCACAGACCAGTGAAGGTGGAAGACATTCCAACAGACAGGTTACAGTGTATTTTGTGTAACATAAGACGGAAAGGCAGCAAAGAAGCTTCTCTAGGTTAAAGAGGCACCCCATAAGGATTCTGATGGGTCACTAGTTTACCAGGCAGAATGGAGGCGGATGCAAGGCACTGCAGGCAAAGGGAGGAATGTGGGCAACACCCTCAAGCACAAAATGACATCTCATTGGTAAACAGCTTAGTTTATATTCTGTAGGCAATGAAGCCTCTGACTGGTTTTAGGCAAGGGTATAATTTGGTCAGAATGACATTTTACAAAGACATTCTAGCTGCAAGCAAGGTGGGGAATGAATTAGGACAGATTGGAGGCAGAGATTAACCAGTTACAAGTCTACTGCAACAGACCTGTTAACAAATGATTTCAATTAGATCAAGGCAGAGGCTCTAAGAAAGGAAAGGTATAAATTTGAGAGATATTTCAAAGTAAAACTGACAATATTGGTATTTTATTTCTAATGGAGAGAGAGATATTTCATAATCCAAGAGAAAGAGAAAGGCTTTGGTTTGAGTGCCTGGGTGGAGGAGGAAGTGTAAGCGAATCATTTGTTTAGGACAAGTTGAATTTGAAGTGCTATAGTCTACCCATAAATGAACAGATGGGTCTAAGGTTCAGTGATCATCTCATCCCATCTCTTCATTTCCCAAGGTGGAAATTTTCTTTTTTTTTTTTGAGACGGAGTGTCGCTGTGTCACCAAGCTGGAGCACAGTAGCGTGATCTCTGCCCACTGCAACCTCCAACTCCCTGGTTCAAGCGATTCTCTTGCCTCAGCCTCCCAAGTAGCTGGGATTACAGGCACCTGCCACCACGCCTGGCTAATTTTTGTATTTTTTTTTTTTTTAGTAGAGACGGGGTTTCACCATGTTGGCCAGGATGGTCTCGATCTCCTGACCTCATGATCCACCTACCTCGGCCTCCCAGAGTGTGGGGATTACAGGCATGAGCCACCGCGCCCCGCCGGAATTTTCTTTTTTAAAAATATTGTTATTCAAACCATTTTTTTCTTCTCCCCTTTCTACCAAGACCATGGTGAAAATTTTCCATTAGAGAAAGATTTTGCTTCTACCGTAGGTCCCTCTGCAGTCCACATTCCATCCGATTTAGGTAGGTCAAGCTGTCCAACTTGCCCTCACATCTATCTGGTATCCCAAGCATTTTCATCCTCCTTTAGTCAGAAACAGAAAACTATGGCTGTCTATGCAGTCAGAAAGGCCTAGATACTGGTTAATAGTTGTTATGTAGAGCAAGATACTTAACTTCCTCATTTGTAAAATGAAGTTAACACCCACTTTTCATGCTTGTTGTGGAGTTTATAAAGTAAATGATATATACAGAGAGAGGGTCTGATATTATCAGAGGTACTAAATATATGAGTCACTATTACCCGTGTGTCATGAAAGGTCATCAGAAAGCTTCTCTATGTTTTAAAGAAACGACTCTTCTTTTCTTTTTTGAGACGGAGTTTCGCTCTTGTTACCCAGGCTGAAGTGCAGTGTCCTGATCTCGGCTCACCGCAAACTCCGCCTCCTGGGTTTAGGCAATTCTCCTGCCTCAGCCTCCTGAGTAGCTGGGACTACAGGCACGCGCCACCGTGCCCAGCTAATTTTTTGTATTTTTAGTAGAGACGGGATTTCACTATGTTGACCAGGATGGTCTCGATCTCTTGACCGCGTGATCTACCCGCCTCGGCCTCCCAAAGGGCTGGGATTACAGGCGTGAGCCACCGCGCCCGTCAAGAAACGACTTTTCATTTTGTCTGTAGAGCTTCGGAACACTGTTCACCACAGCATATAAAATCCTTATAAGGGGCCGGGCGCGGTGGCTCAAGCCTGTAATCCCAGCACTTTGGGAGGCCGAGGCGGGTGGATCCCGAGGTCAAGAGACGAGACCATCCTGGTCAACATGGTGAAACCCCGTCTCTACTAAAAATACAAAAAATTAGCTGGGCATGGTGGCACGTGCCTGTAATCCCAGCTACTCAGGAGGCTGAGGCAGGAGAATTGCCTGAACCCAGGAGGCGGAGGTTGCAGTAAGCCGAGATCGCGCCGTTGCACTCCAGCCTGGGTAACAAGAGCAAAACTCCATCTCAAAAAAAAAAAAAAAAATCCTTATAAGGTCAAGCAGCATAAATTCCTTTTAATATAGAAACTAGAAAAATAATTAATCTTAAGAATGGATGTTTCCTTATTGGTAAGAATTGCCTTTTTTCCCTTAACTAATTTTGAGCAAATTTGGGTACTCAATTACAATAAGTACACCAACCCACTGACTATATTTGCCTGCTCTTATTTATTATAAGGAAAATTGCTGTCATTTTTTGAGAAGTTACTACTTGCCAGGCGTGGGTCAAGTGTGTTACCTTCATTATTTCACTTAATCTTCACAACAGGGCCGGGCGCGGTGGTTCATGCCTGCAATCCTACCACTTTGGGAGGCCGAGGCGGGTGGATCACGAGGTCTGGAGTTCAAGACCAGCCTTACCAACATGGTGAAACTCCATCTCTACTAAACACAAAAATTAGCCAGGCGTGGTGGCCTGTGCCTGTAATCCCAGCTACTTGGGAGGCTAAGGCAGGAGAATCGCTTGAACCCGGGAGGCGGGTTCAAGCCGAGATCGCGCCACTGAACTCCAGCCTGGGTGACAGAGGGAAACTCCGACTCAAAAAAAAAAAATCTTCACAACAACCCGCTGAGGCATTACTGCCATTTTTCAGAAGAATAGAAAGGGAACTATGGCTCAGAGATATCTGGGTAGTGACTCAAATGTAGGTCGGCCTGACTTCTAACATCAATGATCTTAACCTCGACTTTATAATAATAACCTTTTACATTTGACAATTTGATTGCATTCAGTTTAAGCTGCCACTTTTTTTTTAAGGAGGTGGGGCTCTCGTGAGACCTTCTTTACTTCTGCGATAACTGGCACGATATTATCCATTCAATAATTGAAGCAATTAGAAGACATAAAATCTCTTTTGGAAAGCAGGCGGGTTTTAATGGGTAACAACAAAGTGAAATTGAGGCCCAGGGAGGGGAAGGTTCGGCGCCCCGGCGTCTGGGCCCTAAATTTGCACCTCTCTCGCCTCTGGGATTCGGATAACCTACCTCATACCCACTCGGACCCGGGCAAGCAAGGCTCACAAGGTTAGGGAACCTCCCTTCTCCCGGTGCAGTCAAAAAAATTGAGGTCCTGCGAGCGGATGGGACCTGGCCTGCCCACACCTCACTGCCAGCTTGGAGGAGGGCGCATCCACCTCAGGCCCTGCAGCGACCGGAGGTTTGCCAGAGGCAGATTCTCATCGCTCCGAGGATCATTTCCTCCACTGAAAACTAAATTCAAGTGGGCCCAAAGGCTACTTACCCGAAGCAGACGGAGGCTGGAGGCGGGCCTTGAAAGGAAACTGGAAGTACACTCGCCAATCAGAAGAGCTCGGTTACGCTTGGGACCACCAATAGAATTTGGGAGAAGGATCTTCGGCCTGCCTTAAAGGTGCCGTCTCACACTGAGAACGTCGCGAGATCTTCACTCAAGTGGAACGATTGGCCGAAGGTCGGAAATTGAGAGTTACGCCTACTGTTTCTTAGGTCCTCTGATTGGTCTTTTAGAGGAAAAGTCCAGGAACGCTAACCGATTCTTTGGATGCCCATTGGTGGGCGGTTCGGGACTGCAGACGCGCAGGCCCTAGCGCGGGCGTTCGAACTGGTGCTTGGCGGCGTTGCCATGGAGATGCGGCCTGGCCGCAGGTGGTGGCTAGCTGCTTAACAGACCTGTTAGGTTGCGGGCCTTGGGGCTTACTCCCGACGGCATTCTCAGACAGGGCCGATCGAAGAGTTTGGACCGAGGTGAGAAAGGGCGGAGAGAATAGAGGAGGGGCAGGCCTGGTCCGGAGCCGCGGCGCCGGCCCGCGCGGGGTGCGCGTGAAGTCCGCTGAGCGCGGGAGGAAACGCAGTTGTGACGGAACAGGGAGTTGGCCTCTCTTGGTTCTTACGAAAGTTCACCTACTCTCCTACCTTTCAGCCCCATATCTCTGCCTTTTCTTTAGCATTCATCTTAAACGCCACTTCTCTCACTTTGGAAGACTCGAAATTCTTGAGTCCCAGAGTCCTCTTGCTTTTGAACTCATAACCTTGACCGGCACCTCTCTAAGGCGCTTCTATTCGGCCTTGGAGAATGTGCTTCTATTCGGAAGTGTGTACTTCCGGGAAGCACATTCTCTTCCCTTATCTCATACAGTTTTGAAGGCTTTGAGGTAAGGCAAGCATCGTTCACGATGTCTTGCACATAGTAGGTTTTCAGGAAGTATTTGTTGAGTTGAATTTAATTTACAAGAAACAGACTGGATTCCTCTTCGTGCCCTGTCTCGTTGTCTCTCCCCTTCAGAGACGATTTTTTTATTTCAAGGGGAGGGGGAGGGCAACCTAATTTTATATGCAAAAGGACCTAAAAGTCCACCGTCCACAGTTGGCCTTTCTACTCTTTGTGAGAGGCTAAACTTTTTTGGATTGGTTGCTACAACTTTTCCTGCATTTGTGGCTTTTAGCCTTGGTCTCCCAATAATTTTATTAGACTCCTTTTAGTCTTTGCTTAAAACAAACCATTCTGTTGCTGTATGCCAAGAGAATTTATCTCACTTTAGCCTCTTAGTGACCGGCAGCACATTTTAAATGTGCTTTGGAAAATGTTTTAAAGCATCTTCTTTGTATTTATATTCTACAAGTAGAGAGGCTTTGTAGTCTATTTAAGCGCATATAACAGCTGCTCAGGTGCCCATCTGTTCATCAGGTGTCCATGATAGAATTGCTGCTTGGTTGTTAACTCATGGATTATATATTCAGAGCTTGACTGTTGGTGGGATTCTTCCTTATATCAAATTCATAGCTCACTGGCAGTTTTAATAAAAGGAGTGAGAAAGTTAAGTACAGCAGCTATGTTCTTGTTACCATTTTATGAAAGTTTGAAACACTACCTTATAGCTAAACTGCAGATCTGTGACATGTAGTGGAAACCAGACTGGAAATTTAGGGTTTGGCTTTGGCTCTGTCTCTTAACTAATTCACTGTGGGTGGCTTTGCAAGTCATTTCGTTCCTTTATTATTGTTATTATTTATTATTTATTTTTTAGAGACAAGGTCTTGCTCTGTCACCCAGGCTGTAGTGCAGTAACATGAGCATAGCTCACCACAGCCTTGAACTCCTGAATTCAAGGAGCCCCTTTAAACCTCACTTTTTCCATCTGGAAAATCAAATAATTGAATTAGATTAAAATTCTTGTGGCTCTACTATTAAGTCAAGTAGTTGATGTCAGGTGGACCACACGCTGTAAGCCTTCCAAAGACCATACAGTCTTTTTTAAAGCAGCTGAAAGTAGTAGTTGCCATTTATTGAGCGTTTACCCCATACGAAGCACTGTATCAAGGGCTTTATATACATGTTACATTTTTCTTAGTATAGCACATTAACATACTGAGATAGCATTTTATTTAAAACTTTTGGTTTTATGGTGTTTTGTTTGTTTGTTTTTCAAGACAGAGTTTTATTCTGTCGCCCAGGCTGGAGTGCAGTGGGTGATAGCGGCTCACTGCAACCTCTGCCTCCTAGGTTCAAGTGATTCTCCTGGTTCAGCCCCCAGGGTAGCTGGGATTACAGGCACCTGCCACCACACCTGGCTAATTTTTGTATTTTTAGTAGAGACGGGATTTCACTGTCTTAGTCAGGTTGGTCATGATCCACCCGCCTCAGCCTCTGAAAGTGCTGGGATTACAGGCATGAGCCACTGTGCCCAGCTGGTTTTATATTGTTAATGAAAATCTTTAGCTATTCAAAATGTGTCCTTGGGGCAACCGAGGGTATGATTTTCTCACTTTGTAGTTTAGGAGAAACCAGTGTCTTTCTCTGGGCTGCTATTTTGTTGTTTGCAAAGTGATGGGCTGAACTCTTCTAGATCCCTACCAGATCTAGTGTTCTATGAAGATTAATCTATTAATCCCATTCCCCCATGCTGGCTCAGCAAACCAGTTTATAATTTGAATGGTATAGATCCTCAATAAATTTTGTTAAATAAATAATAAGAGTTCAACTTCTTAAACTTTGAGTGTGTGGTCATTGTATACTTCTCAAGCTACTGTCTTAAGGGTTTTGATGTTCACATCGTGTTGAATAAGAAGAGTTTTCTATCGGTATACACTAATAATAATAGTATATTGTTGAGTGTTTATCAGTCATTGAAGTTAGCAGTGAATTTACATTATTCCAATTAACTCTCATGAAAGGAACATTTTTTCCAAGTCAGCAGCATTTTTTTTTTGTCGATTCAATGTAGTAGCTTCCTAAATGATTTCCCTCTTTCCACTTTTGCCTGCCTCCTATGATCCATTTCTTACAGAACCGACAGAGTAAACTTTAAAGATATGTATCATATCGTATGCTTTTTCCACTTAAAATCCTCTAATGACTTCCTACTTCTCTTAAAAGTAAAATTCAGACACTTTTATGTGGCCCAGTGTATCCTACATAATCTGGCCCCTACCTTTCTGTCCTCTTCTCATACTATTCTTCTTACCTGCCATGCCATCCAACCTGTCCATGTTTGATGGCTTGATTATGCCATGCTTATTTCCACCTTTGAGCTAATGTGCTCATGTGGAACTCTCTTCCTTCTGATTACGTAAGTAACTCCATGTTATTTCAGGTTTCACCTCAATAAATGTTCCCTTCTGAATGAAGCCTTCTCTGATCATCCAATGTAAATTATGCCTTGCACCCTGCTTCATTCTTCTATAGCAATTATCATAATCTAAAACGACCCTGCTTATTTCATTATTATCTCCTTCCACTAAAATAACAGTGCATGAGGGCAGTGACATCTGTTCTTTGGATTTTTTTTTTTTTTTTTTTTGAGACAGGGTCTTGCTCTGTCACCCTGTTGTCCAGACTGAACTGCAGCGACGTGATCGTGGCTCACTGCAGCCTCAGACTCCCAGGCCCAAGCAATCCTCCCACCTCAGCCCCTCAATTAGCTGGGACCACAGGCTTCTTGAGGGGCTGAGGTGGGAGGATTGCTTGCCCAGCTAATTTTGTTTCTTTGTAAAGATGAGGTCTCACTATGTTGACCAGGCCATCTCAAACTCCTGGGCTCAAGCAATCCTCCCTCAGCCTCCTCAAGTGTTGGAATGACAGTCATGAGCCACTGCGCCTGGCTAATCTTGTCTGTTTTGTTCAGTTACATTCCCAGTGCATAAAATAGGGCCTATCTCATAAAAGTCTATCAAAAAATATTCTTGAAGACTGGATAAAGGTAACTGTGGAACTGTGAGCATATCTGTGTCCATATCAATTCATCTGAGTAATACAAACTTGCTTCATTTTGTTGCCCAGGAGCAGTGACTCAGGGCACCACCAACTCTGCCAGAATTGTCCTGAGTAATCAAATTACTCTGATAAATAGTTTCTGCTATCCATTACTACAAATGATATCAAATGCTTTTATAGAGTTTTAATATAGGGATATGTATTCATTAAATAATTATTGAATATTATTTCCAATCATAGTTTCATTTATTTTTATTTTTTCTGAGATAGAATCTTGCTCTGTTGCCCAGGATGGAGTGCAGTGGCACAATCTCGGCTCATTGCAACCTCCACCTCCCAGGTTCCAGCGATTCTCATGTCTCAGTCTCCTGAGTAGCCGGGATTACAAAGTGTGCACCAGCATTCCTGGCTAATTTTTGTATTTTTTGTGGAGATGGGGTTTCGCTATGTTGACCAGGCTGGTCTTGAATTTTTGGCCTCGAGTGATCTGCCCACCTCAATCTCCCAAAGTTCTGGGATTACAGGTGTGAGACACTGTGCCCTGCCCCCAAGCACTGTTTTAGAACCTGCGTGTAAAAAGACTAATAAGACACAATGCTGGTTTTTGTTTTTTGTTTTTGAGACAAAGTCTTACCCTGTCACCCAGGCTGGAGTGCAGTGCAGTGGTGTGATTTTGGTTCACTGCAGCCTCAACCTCCTGGGCTCAAGTGAGCCTCCCAAGTGGCTGGGACCACAGGTGTGTGCCACCACACCCAATTAATTTTTATTTACTTATTTATAGATTTAGGGTCTCCATATGTTGTCCAGGCTGGTCTTGAACTCCTGAGCTCAAGTGATCTTTCTGCCAAAGTGCTGGGATTACAGGTGTGAGCCACTCTGCCTAGGTAAGACACATTCCTTGACCACAAAGAGATTATATTCTATTAGGGGAAATAGTCAAATAATTGTTATAATTATTAATATAATTATAATAATAGAGATATGCCAAAGGTATGATACAGACACAGAAGGGACATCTGATCACATTGGGGTAGACCAGAAAAGACCTCATTTGTTGTTATAATCAGTAGAAAATAGACAGGTAAAGTGAAGTTTGATGATAGTGGAGGAGGCTGTTTAAGATCACAATGTGAATGAATCCACAGAGAAATAAAATGGTCTAAGAAGTCGACTAAACTGGAAAGCAAGGAAGGGGCTAGATTATAGAAGGCTTTGTGGGACGTGCTAAGAAGTTTGGACTTTGTACTGTGTGTAGGTGATAAGATGCCATTGAAGGGTTTTTTTTTCTTTTTTTTGAAGGGTTTTAAATAAGGGAGCAGCATTGTTATAACTTCTTTCAAAAGAAGAGTGATCTGGCTCTCCAGTCTGGAAGATGGTTTGATGGGGGGCTAAACGGGAGACCAGGAGAACAGGTATGAGATGTGTAATGAATTGGTGAGAGATACTGAGGCAGAATTGCCAGAGCAGTGGTGGTAGGAATGAGAATAGGAGAGGGGAAATTTGGCAAATATTTGAGAGATTAAATTGGCTGGTTCTGTTGATTAGATTTGGGATTAAGGGAGAAGAAGGCCTCTAGGATTGCTTCCTAGTTTAGCTCTGAGTGACTGCATGAATGGTATTTTCACCCCCCTTCCAAAGAAGACAGCAGTGGAGGGGTAGTTTTTGTCAGGAGATATAATGAGTTCTGTTGTTGACAAGTTCAGATGCTCAACTGTGGAGACATTTTTATAGTGATTCCTGCTGTTTTTGCTGAAGACATAGCCGTCAGATTACCTGTTTTACTACGAAGTGAACTAAAGTTACATTGGGATTCTGGAAGTAACCCACTTAGTATGGAACAACATCCAGACCAAAGAGACTAATTGAGATTTCACTAGCAATGAGGGGCAGTACTGTGTCTATTAGTCTTTTAAGTTAGCCACTTGCTTATGTGAGAGTTGATTGGTTAAAACTAGTGGTATAGAATTACATAGCCAATATATGGCTATCCGATCACTTTGTAAAAAATATTTATATCATTGTTTTGAATAAATTATCTGTGCCTCAGTTTCTTTATTTGTAAAAAGGGAGATGATGCTAATTGCCGTCTATCACAACAAATCTTGGAAGATTATTCAGGTAGCACAGTTAGTTACATGTTAATAATTTTGATTCCAGTGAATGAAATTATTGTTTTAATCCTTCTTTGTTTTATTGATGTCACTCCTTTGGAAATAATTCCTGGTCCCATGGTGGCAACAAAAAATCTCTATCATCTTGGTAATTTATGAAAACTGATTGTAACAGTTACTTTTCTGACTGAACACATGAAATATATTTTGTTGAAAATATTTTATGACTACAGTGTGGCAAAAGTCTGCAGATGACAACTTCCTGCAGTTTGGTCAGACCAAGATTTTAAAAATAAAGCACCGAATTTAAACCCAACATTGGTTTCCACCTGTTGCTGAGAATTCTTTCAATATTAAACCTCTATATTTAGAGAAAGTAATACTTGCACTAGTTTAAGATAACTAGGTTCTAAAATTTTGTTATGTTTATTTTTAGGTGATTGCTCATACTTTCCACCAAATGTAAAAACTTAACTCATTGTGAGGCTCTTGAGGGGAATTGTAGTAATTACAAAGCATTAGCTACTTAACGGTAAACAAACTTGAAACTTTTTTTTTCAGTTAAAAACAAAAAATTTCTTGAAAACTACTTTTAAAAAGTGAATATAATTCACATGATTTTTATCCCCAAGTCCACATCTTGCCTTAAGAATTCTATTAAGTATCATATATTCTAATTCCTTTGCAGCTGTTTTAAGCAGTTGTCTGGTACCATCTGTTTTCTGTTGAGATCAGTGTCTGTAGTTAGAAGAATCCCTAGAGTTTGAAATAATTAGTTCCCTACCCTTTAATCTTTCACTGATAATATTTAATTTCTTGTGTTCTTAGTGACCTTATACCTAATATGGGGTACAGAAATGTTTTAATAAAAATTGATTGAAAATGCTGATTTTGTTTTGTATCAGTTTCTTTAATTTGTTTTTTGGGGACAGAATCTCACTCTATTGCCTGGGCTGGAGTTTAGTGGCTCAATCTTGGCTCACTGCAACCTCTATCTCCTGGGCTCAAGCAGTGCCCGCCAGCATCAGCCTCTCAAGTAGCTGGGACTAAGGGCAAACATCACCACACCCAGCTAATTTTTGTATTTTTTTGTAGAGACAAAATTTCACCATGTCACCCAAGCTGGTCTCAAACTCCTGGACTCAAGGGATCCAATTGCCTTGGCCTCCCAAAGCACTAGGATTATAGGTATAAGCCACAGCACCTGGCCTTGTATCCGTTTCTAATAATCCAGTGGGCCCAGTGACTTCGTTAGTAACTTCTTTAAAAGTGATACTTATTAGGCTGGGTGCAGTGGCTCATGCCAGTCCTAGCACTGCGAGAGGCCACGGCAGGAGGATCACTTGAGCTCAGGAGTTTGAGACCAGCCTAGGCAACACAGTGAGACCTCATCTCTTTTTTTAAAAAAAAGGTGATCAGTATTAGTGTTTTTCTAATGCTAGATGGGTTGGGAGGAATGGGGAATGACTACCAGTGGGTACTGGGTTTCCTAATGTAAATGAATAAAGTTCGTTGGAATTAAACTAGGAGCAGGTAGAACCATGGGGTATATTAGTAGAAGAGCATATGCCCTTCTAAAGGGGACAGCCACGACTCCATTTTTGAGACCCTTTCTCTTAAAAAAAAAAAAAGTGTGTATACATGTATAGTTTTGTTTTTTGTTTTTAATGCTGTAGGTAGGTCACTGTGTCTCTTTTGTTCCAGACACCTAGTGGGTGCATTACAGAACTTGTCTGCTGCAAATGGTTAATCAGTACACTTTGAAGAGTACGTTAACGTATCGAATTTTACGATGAATGCCTGTATAAGTTATTTCAGTTTTAAACTTGAAGAAACTGAGACCCATAGTTGTTAAATAATTTGACTATGTTTCATATCTGGTTCTTAGCAGAGCCTGACTGAGTCCTTGATTTTTTTTGACTTCCACGCTAGAAATCTGCTGTACTAGTTACTGCTGTACAAATGCTTTGGTAGTCTATTGACAGATATTTGGGGAAAAAATCTTATTTAACATCTTAAAATAGAAAAAGAAACCATGTGGATATTTTGCTCCTTCTTCAATTCCATCTCCCTCCCTACAGAATAAAAATGTGTTTGGTAGCAGTGGTAGTTTTAAGAGCCTATGTTTATTGGATGTCTATGATATGTTACACCAATCCTTTAGTGTTAGTTACCTTCTAAATCTAGTGACATGTCAATAATTATAGGTAATCTATTTCTAAGAAGGATGGAGGGAGGTCTTACAATAAAATATGTAGCTACAAAGAAAACAGTGAACAAAAATAAAAGCACACATTTGAACAATGCAGATATGGCTAAGTACATGGAGAAGGGTCATTATCCTGTAAGCCTGTCTAGAGAGATCTAAAGCAAAACTCCCGGGGTACAGGTAAAATAAAGTTCATTTCAGTAACATTTTGGCAACTTGAATTCAAACATACTTAAATTTGTAGAAAGAGAAAAATTAGTTTAGGTCCTCCCTGCTCCCCTCCTCAAGGGAGATCTGTAGCTATTTGTAGGTTATAGCCTTTTTCTTTCTTTCTTTTTTTGAGAAGGAGTTTTATTTTTTTATTTTTGTCACGCAGGCTGGAATGTAGTGGCGGGATCCCCGCTCACTGCAACCCTCAGTGTCCTGGGTTCAAGCAGTCCTCCTGCCTTAGCATCCCAAGTAGCTGGGATTACAGATGCCCACCACCACACCCAGCTAATTTTTGTATTTTTAGTAGAGACAGAGTTTTACCATGTTGGCCAGGCTGATCTAGAACTCCTAACCACAGGTGATCTGCTTGCCTTGGCCTCCCAAAGTGCTGGGATTATAGGCATGAGCCACTGTGCCCAGCTGGTTATAGCCTTTTTCTGTGTAATTTTTGCAGCTTATAGTTGAGGGTTACCCATATGTTCATTATTCATGTCTTTTTTTTTTTTTTTTTTAGGAGAGGGGTCTCACTATGTTGCCCAGGTTGCATTATTCATGTTTCTATCCTGTTAACTTGTTTGTTAGATTTGTTTGTTCTCCTCCCTAATCTTCTAATCAGGCTTCTACATGTTGAAGAAAGAATTCTTTATTTATTTTTTTTTTAAAGATGGGGTTTTACCATGATGGCCAGGCTGGGCTTGAACTCCTGACCTCAGGTGATCCACCCACCTCGGCCTCCCAAAGTGCTGGGATTACAGGCGTGAGCCACCGCGCCTGGCCAGAAAGAATTCTTAAAGGAATTCTTTGCTCCCTTCCTCCCCTAACTACTGAAAAATAAATTCAGTAATACAATTTGAATAAAACATTAAGATTTTAGGGTATGATAGTATCCCCCCTTATTCAAGGAAGGTACATTCCAAGACCCCTGGTAGATGCCTGAAACCATGGATAGTAACAATCCCTATTATAGGTTAGGGGTTTTTTTCCTTACTAAGTCTAGAAATTTTTCTCTTTAACTTAAAGGAAGTACTACAGCTTCTCTTTGGCATTATCTGAATTGCCAACATTACTACTCTTTTGGTTTGGGGCCATTGTTTAAGTAAAATAAGGGTTATGTGAACACAAGCATTGCAATACCCCACAGTTGATCTGGTAACTAAAACAGCTACTAAGTGACTAGTGAGTGGGTAGTTTATGCAGTGTGGATAGGCTGGACAGTGGGACGATTCACATTCCAGGAGGGGTTTTGTGAGAGATTTTAATAATGCTACTCAGAATGGTGTACAATTTAAAATCTTACAAATTGTTTCTTTTTGGAATTTTTCACTTAATATTTTTGGACTGATTGATTAAGGGTCACTGAGACAGCAGAAAGCTAAACTGGATGACAAGTACTACTGTAACTTACATTGAGATTGTAAATCTAAAAACAACAACCAATAAATAAGCAAATAAGCACTTTTTTTTTTTTTTTTTTTTGAGACGGAGTCTTGCTCTATTGCCAGGCTGGAATGCAGCGGTGCGATCTCAGCTCACTGCAACCTCTGCCTCCCGGGGTCAAACACTTCTCCTGCCCCAACCTCCCAAGTAGCTGGGATTACAGGCATGTGCCATCATCACTGGCTAATTTTTGTATTTTTATTAAAGACAGGGTTTTACCATGCTAGCCAGACTGGTCTTGAACTCCTGACCTCCTGATCTGCCTGCCTCAGTCTCCCAAAGTTCTGGGATTACAGGCATGAGTCACCGCGCCCAGCCAGTAAGCACTATTTTTACCTTAGGAGTTTACTTCAACAGAGTTTTTAAAAATGGAGATCTAATTTAACCATATTAAATAACATTTTTTTACATAAAGCATCTAACATAGTGCTTGGCGTAAAATAGA